GTGTGAATGGTTTTATGCACAGGGAGGCAAGGCCCTCTTATATTTGGTTGATTAATTGATTTGTGGTGTTTATTTAATGGTGCCTTGTAACCTGTTGACTGACCATTTTATTCCTGTTCTGCACTGTATTTAGAGGAGGGGGGGGGACTTCTTCTTATAGGTAGCATTTTAGCTGCTGGGGTTAGGGTTCTTAAAACATTTTCAATGTTAAATTATACTTTGACTCAAAGTTTTATCTGTGTGAGTAACTCCAACGTCTCCGTGTTTGCAGATCTATCTGGGGGTAGCAGCTCAGTACTGGGGAAGTTTGCATGAGTTTGACCTCTGAAAACAGGAGGGGTGTTATTCTTGGGGAACTACTAAAAGTTACTACGGTCCGAGTTGCCTAGGCCTGTATATTGGCCCGGTCACAAAGGTATACAAGTGTTCTGTTGGTGAAGCTGTTGATATTGTTGCCTGATGCTGCTCTGTCAGGTTTGCTGAATTGTCTTGTAATGAATCAGTGGCGGTGAATATGCTAGCAAATCATTTAGAGCTACACCAACGGTAAGACTATCCAAATGTTTATGTATGGACGGTAAGCAACAGTAACTAGTAGTTGAAAAATAATATGCATAGACCTGAAGTTCATGGCTAACAATGGGAGTGTAAATGAAGCACTGCCTACACTTGCACACATATCTTTATACTGTATTCTATACAGTATTTGTGTGTAGGTTTTATTTTACATTTGTATCAGACCAGGGGTATTTCTGAAAGTGAGAGCAGCTCAGGTTGCCAACACAAAGATGACAAACACAAGAAGAGGCTGAGAGTGTATTGCAAGTGTTGCATATGGCTTGTTTATAGGTGACACACACTGTATACAACCACTTAATTCTGTTCTTTAAGATGACTATATGTAGTTTAAGAAGTACAAGCATTTACTGTATAAACCAGCTTTACCCCCAAAATTAGAGGGTGATGATTTTGATACAAGAATAGCTGTATGTGTCTGAAAGGCCTAATCCTTCTAAGTCAAATAGGTAAATTCAGCAAAGCCTTTCATTTAAACAGCCTTCATAGAATTTAATGATATACAGCCTCTGATTTTTATCTACCTGATTGACATATTCCACCTGCCCCTTGTGTCTTCACCAGCATTGAAATCAAACATATGTCAGTGATGTTGCTGACATGTTTGCCTATGACAGTGTCTGTGCGAGAGCTAAATGCGTAAGTGGTTCTACGTGTGGAATGTAAAATTTAGGAGGAAATGAATATGGAAAATAACTTGCAATACTAGGTCAAAATAAATAGTCACTTTCAAAGGGAATCTCAGACTTAAAATGGCAAAACAAGGTCAGTGTTGTGTTCAAGGACACATGGCTGATGATGAACAGACTGCACTTTGGTTTATTTGGCACTGCTGCAGTACATCAGAAATCAATAATGGTGAGTAAAGTGGTATTTGACTAAAAACGACTGAATGTACTGATAAAAATGTGAAGGTGCCTTTCAGTACTGAGGTTGGTGCACATCAGTAGCTTGCAGTCAGAGATTCTTTTATAAAACAGGCCTATTGCTTGTCCATAAATATTAAATGATTAGGGTCCTAAATACTGTACATATCAGGTACAAGCCTGTTGGGCCTCTTAAATTCAGGATTACTGGTTGTTCCAAGAGTTAAAACTAAAACTGCGTTTAACTTCTATACTGCTGAACTACAGAGGAAATTGCCAGAGGAGGTAAGAATTGAGACCGTATTGGCTAAAGAACTACCTATCTGCCATTGCTTTTAGATAAATGCATTCAAACTTATGTGATCTGATCTAGAGTTTTATACATCTGCCTTTTTGATCATTGGATAATTTCTTTTTATAATTTGTTGAATGATTTTTTTTTTTTTTTTACATGTGCATATTGGTACCATGCCCCCTAATGCATACTGCTTTGTTTGCTTGTTTCTAATGATTTTATGCTTATGTCTCTGTACCTTGTGAAGCACCATGGGTTGCCTCTTGTGCTATGTGTAAATTTTTCTCATCTTTCCTTGTGACACTAAAATGGTTTTCACACATTATTGCATGAAAACACTAGATCATATTAGCACAGTTTTCAAGATATTCAAAACACATTGTAGTACACATGACAAAAACTGGGTAAATGCTCACTTATAGTAAGTGAAATATGCAAGTGCATTACTGTTAGAATGATATGCCACAGTACCTTTGACCAGGGTTCCTGAGACCAATCTCTGCAGCGACTGGATTAATTTTTGCACCCCCTGCCTGCAGCGGCTGGTACAGCCAGCCATCCTGAGGTGAAGACCGGTATTCGACGGTGCCGAGACTTCAGTGAGGAAAAACTTCTCCAGTATATCTCAATAAAGGTTTGAGCTTGCAACTTTCTGCGCAATTTCCCTTTTCGTAGTATTACTGTAGCGTGAAAAGTGATCCTTTATTGCAAATAAAAAATCTGTCTCGGCAGTTTTTGTAATATGACAACTCAAGATGAAAAAATAAGAACTGAGATCTATAAGTCACATGCAAAATTAAATTTTGGTAGCGTAGATTAAAAAAATAAAACAATTTGCATTCACTTATATGTGCACTTACATCTGATGACCTGTTAGTTCACTCATGTACATTTCACTCTGTCAGTCAAGAAGAGAGGGTCACACACCCAAAGACACAAACACACTATGTTGGAAAAAATCAGAGGCAGTTGTTGCCAGAACTGCCAAAGGAGACAGATGGTAAAAATCCAGACCGGTATGTCAAACTTTTAAAAACGCAAAGTTGTGTTCCAGAAAGCAAAATGAGTTAGACAAATTGTTAAATGGACTCCCGAAGTAGAATTCAAAGAGCTGTGTCCTCTGGAAGTTCTGTTGGGCGAAGAAAAAGCAGAGATCCCCCTTCTGTATTTACCTGATCAGTGTTTTCTTCTTGTCTTGTGAGGTAGCAGTTTCTTCTTCCAGTATAGATTTCTGTATGAGGTTTTCCTCTGAACTGCAGTGGGAGCTCTGTGGCTGTGGTCTGTGGGTGAGCTCTGCTCTGGCTCTCACAGCAGATCTGTACTGCACCAGTAGCCCACCCTCCCTCTTCTCAGCTTCCTCCTCTTGTCTTTCATTTGTGGGTTCTCATTCTCAGTCTGGCTAATACTGTTTTTTCCCTACCTTTTTTTTCCTAGAGTCTACACAGTTGCTTGATTCTGTAAAAATACTGGTGCACAAAGAGGAAAAAAAAGAGTTTATGGTTGGTGACTCTTTTACTGTAATTACACAATATTTATCACTTTAATATATCCCAACTAGTGAAAACATCACTAATACAGTATATGTATTAAATCAGTAAATTTTGAACGAATATTTAGGGCTATACTGACATTTCTGATGTTTTTCTATACAAAACAACTTTTCAAAAAACCTGACTGTTCAGCATACAAAAATGCCGATGGTAGTTTCTTTGAAATAATATGTTCACTTTTTATCTGAAACAATATGGCATTCAAGTTGTATTGTGGATAATAATGCATACTCATCAGGTCTCTGCCTTTTACATGAAAAGATGGAGACCTGTGCTGGTGGGTATGGGATAACAAGATTTCTTTCTACAATATAATGCATACATTTTAGCATATGTCAAGTAAAATCAAATTTATATCTATGGAAATAAATCAACAGCAAATTGAAAAATAAAAAGGATGGAAAAGCAATTCTCTCCTTCAAATTGGTGATCAGGCACCCACTAGAAATGATAAGCTATCATTTTTGAAACACAGCCAAAAAGTTGGTGCCACATTCACACATATGCAAGCAATTGCCCAGAGACAAAATGACTCTAAAACAGGTTATGTAAGCCTGCAGTTTGCTTTTTGTCTCTCACTCCACTGAACTGGGGAAATGCTTGGGGAGAGCATGACGCAGCGCTTCCTTCATCTATTTTTCCAGCCCTCATCCTCTGTCTTGTCTATTTTTAATGTTTATAGTCTATTTCGCCATGCAGTCACAGTCAGCATGGCATTTTCAAAGGTCTGCATCCTATAGTATCTCTACTCTAAATGCCACATGTTTAAGAAAAAGCTAAAGGAAGACCATAGCTTTAGTGACTTGAGGTGCTTGTCCACCTAATCCTGTTTAGGCCCCATGAGAGGAGGACTTTCCTCAAAGTGTCAGGGTAAAAATAATAGCACAGTGCTGGCCATACGTCTAGAACAAGATAAGTATGTGCAAGATGTGAGTAATTACAGTTCAATTATAAACACTAATAAAATAACAAAAAGGGAAAATAAATGTTTTTCATTCTAAATCTATTTTTGAGTCTCTCTTGTGGATGAGGTCAAATGTGGCAGTGCAGTGTTTAATATTTGCCTGTCAGCCTTAAAAAGATCATTTGTAATTTGTATTACCAGTTTTTCACATAGAAACAGTCTCCAAATTATATTAAGCAATAACAGGTAGCATTACTGAACAAGCTTTTTATGCCTTTGTAAGAGCATCTTATTTAGCCATGAAAATCTATGGCTCTCTTGTAGCTACTAGGCAGTTGTGGAAGAAGCACCAAGTTGCTTTACTCAAGTAAAAGTACCACTATAATGTATTTATGCAGTATATGAAATTATGACTGACTCATAGGCCACAAAAGAAGGAGAAACACTCTGCTGGATTGAAATACATAATAAAAAATGATAATGGGGTGTAGAAGTCAGTGTAAGTAGTGTAAGGAACGTGTGAATGCATGAGAATGGGTGCATGTTGTAGTTGCTAAAGAAAACCAAAAGCCAGACCCATGCAAAACACAGTATGGTGCGTGGCATATAGACAAGCACCCCAAACCATAAGCCAGTGAGGTTTTATGGGCTTGAGAGCAATGACCAGGTACTTCTGATTATTCAGTCACCTCACTGCAAGACTGCAACCTGCAACAAAGAACACAAAGAGCAACAGCACAAGGCACCAAGGCCATCAAATATTGGTTTTTGAGTTGGTTCAATGATAAGCCCATGTATTTTCTGTCTATGCTGTGCAGATATCGGTATATTTCTGTGCTGTGTATAGGCTGTACCCCAAAGATTTATGAGTAAATATAATACACTACTTTCCACCTTGGTTGCAAGGCACCTGGTGTATCCAGAATGTAATTTGCTGGCATATTAATTCACTCTTGCATCCGCCTACTCATTATAAGAATATCTGCCCGGTGGAGACTATTAACAGGGACTGCAATATCAACACACATATAACCTTGATAGTTCACTAGTCTAATTTCATGCATCACTCCTGGGTTCTTCTCTCTGTGGCACTGTTCACTTATTTATGTAGCCCCTCACCAAGACCATGGCCCAAATCTTTTACATACTACATCAGGTATTAAATTGCAGCCCAGTAAACTACCTGAAACTAAGCACAGCATAATTCACATTCCTAAAAACAGGTTGCATGCTAGCAGTTGACTGTGATAGCATATTGCTGCCCACATGATAAAAAAAATGAAATTTGATTTCACATAACATTCAAAATAGCAGCTTTTTTTAAAATCATGTTGGCAGCAATACCGTGCCACATACAGTTTGTGATAAATATCACTAGCAGAGCCACAAAAGAAAAAAGGCTAGGAGAAAGAAAACATGAAATGCCAGTGTCCATGGTGATATGAAGATATTAATAAATAAACTTATAAAAAACAATGTTGGCTCTTGTTTGTGGAAAGTATTGTTGCCATAGTGAAGCTAAGTCTTGGAGTAGAAGAAACAACAAGAATGGGTTGTTTAAGACTTCAAGCATAAGCTACATGTTTTCAGTAATATTGACTTGCTCAGCTTTGAAAATCAAAGATTCTGGAGAGCGAAGCCGCAGAGTTCCACTGTATGGTATAAAAACAGCTGCTGGATGCAGACAGCCACACAGCTGACCCCTGCAGTGGCACTGCATTGCTCGCCACACTCAGATGTTAAGTCTCCAAAGCCCACACACTGAGCATGCTCAGACAAACCTTCTTCTGGACCTCTAGGCAGGAGATTAGTGGTCATCTGCACATGAAACAATGAGAATTAACAACAGTGGAGCTGAAATTTCTAGTGTGAGGCAAAGCCAATAGCTTCTTTATTACTAGACCCATGCAAAAGCTCACACCCACACACAACAACACATACAGTATACTGTACATGGAAACGTTTTGGCTGTGACTCATAAAACAGTACAGTATATGTATTTCAAAAGTAAAGGATCTTGGCTTCTGCCATTTAATGAACAGTCATATGAAAGTCATAATTTTTTTTAATATTCCAGTCAAGATTAAGAGGGTTTTCTTTGTAAACAGACAAACTCTGCAGGTGAAGACAGATAAGGTTTAAACAAATCAGTGCACAAAATAAATACAGCAACATAATAACTCTAACACAATGTAACATTAGAATGGCAGTCTAAAAGTAAGTAAGTTGTTTTGCAGTTGCATTTAACACTTGCATTATGGCCCCTGCAAATTAAACCAGTGTGAAGTAAAGTGAAATTTAAAGATAAGTTGGGGATTATTTTTTTATGTTGTTCTTAAAACAGTACTGACCTGCCCATATGTAAGTGAGAAGAGGTCTTAGTTGATGTAATCTTTCTCGGTTGCCACACTTAGCCTGAAGCTAAGTACTTGGTGCACAGCCCTCTTTCTGTGCAAAAATGCACTCTAAGATCATCCAAGGCTCAAATGTACTATAACTTCAATTATCCCACTAAGCTAGGTCAAGTCACTATCTTTCAAAGTTATTCCATTTAAGACAAATTTCCCTCTTTTGCTTCCCTGCAAAATAACTTACTTACTTGCTGAACTGTGTTGAGGGATATGTTCTATTGGCAGTGTGTAAGTTGATCTACAACATATACAGTGCCTTGCAAAAGTATTCGGCCCCCTTGAACTTTGCGACCTTTTGCCACATTTCAGGCTTCAAACATAAAGATATAAAACTGTAATTTTTTGTGAAGAATCAACAACAAGTGGGACACAATCATGAAGTGGAACGAAATTTATTGGATATTTCAAACTTTTTTAACAAATAAAAAACTGAATAATTGGGCGTGCAAAATTATTCAGCCCCTTTACTTTCAGTGCAGCAAACTCTCTCCAGAAGTTCAGTGAGGATCTCTGAATGATCCAATGTTGACCTAAATGACTAATGATGATAAATAGAATCCACCTGTGTGTAATCAAGTCTCCGTATAAATGCACCTGCACTGTGATAGTCTCAGAGGTCTGTTTAAAGCGCAGAGAGCATCATGAAGAACAAGGAACACACCAGGCAGGTCCGAGATACTGTTGTGGAGAAGTTTAAAGCCGGATTTGGATACAAAAAGATTTCCCAAGCTTTAAACATCCCAAGGAGCACTGTGCAAGCGATAATATTGAAATGGAAGGAGTATCAGACCACTGCAAATCTACCAAGACCTGGCCGTCCCTCTAAACTTTCAGCTCATACAAGGAGAAGACTGATCAGAGATGCAGCCAAGAGGCCCATGATCACTCTGGATGAACTGCAGAGATCTACAGCTGAGGTGGGAGACTCTGTCCATAGGACAACAATCAGTCGTATACTGCACAAATCTGGCCTTTATGGAAGAGTGGCAAGAAGAAAGCCATTTCTTAAAGATATCCATAAAAAGTGTCGTTTAAAGTTTGCCACAAGCCACCTGGGAGACACACCAAACATGTGGAAGAAGGTGCTCTGGTCAGATGAAACCAAAATCGAACTTTTTGGCAACAATGCAAAACGTTATGTTTGGCGTAAAAGCAACACAGCTCATCACCCTGAACACACCATCCCCACTGTCAAACATGGTGGTGGCAGCATCGTGGTTTGGGCCTGCTTTTCTTCAGCAGGGGCAGGGAAGATGGTTAAAATTGATGGGAAGATGGATGGAGCCAAATACAGGACCATTCTGGAAGGAAACCTGATGGAGTCTGCAACAGACCTGAGACTGGGACGGAGATTTGTCTTCCAACAAGACAATGATCCAAAACATAAAGCAAAATCTACAATGGAATGGTTCACAAATAAACATATCCAGGTGTTAGAATGGCTATG